TTTTACTTATAAACCCAAAATATTGTGTGTTTGGAAATAATTAAAACGACGTCGTTTTAAATTGGGAGAAAATTGTATGTCATAGTAAATTACATAATTTAAACATAACCAAGCAACTAATATTTTGATTTTCATAAATGGAGTGACTTGGCCCATCAAGTTCGATCAGTTTTGAAGAACTACCCCAAGCTCACGCTTACCCCAAAACGACGTCGTTTCGATACGCACCGTAACGTAGTTGACTAACACCCGTTAGATTGACTCCGATTTTTGCATGTTATATCAAGTATAGGGTATGAGATTCAAAATTTATTGAAGTTTAGGTTGTAAAATACCCTACAAAATTGTCCAGGTATGAAAATCCACGGTCCAGACGTATGGGTATGAAAATCCTCTTTTCCCATTTTGTCTATCGAAAGAGAATTGGTTAAAAGCATTGACTTTGAGAGCTTGGTTAATGATTTTGTAACACAAAAGGGAAGAAAAGTTGCATTTTAGAATTAGTATTCTGATTTTTACTCTTGTTCTATTTGTTTGGATAATTGGATTATGCTCGTTATTACTTTAAAACTTTTTGTTGTATAATTTACCTAGTTTGACCCAAATTTCGGGATTAATAACTAGATTAACATCCAATAATTGTGGTTTACTAGAATAACATAAATTTTGTGTAAAAAGACCAATTATCCATTCTATTTAATTTTTCCTAAAATAAAAAACTGTAAACATATAATTAAATTTAAATTAATTAAACAATCTAAACAAATATTTTTCTAACCCTAACCTAATCTATCGACTTTCACTCTTTTATTTTCCATCAGACAAAAAAAAAAATCAACGATGCATTCAATAAGAAACTAGAGAAATCTTCAACCTCTACCACCACATCTAGGGTTTTCACTTCTAAAGACAAAAATCCCTTTTCCTTCACATCTACTTCCACTGCTAAATCTCAGCTTCCCGATGGTTTGTTCTTTTTTTCACATCTGCGAGTTTTTTCTTGTTAGTTAATTGCTTTTTTTCTGAGGATTATTTGGTTTTGCAATGGAATCAGAAACTGATAGTGTAGGGTCTGATGTGAGTGGATCGGAGTTCAGAGGGTGATGATACATCGTGGTGGTTTTGTAATTTGAGAGGGAATGATTTCTGCTGTGAAGTCGATGAAGATTATATTCAAGATGATTTCAATCTTTGTGGATTAAGTGGTCAAGTTCCTTACTATGACTATGGACTTGATCTCATTGGGTAGAGGATGAGGGCTAAAAGAAGTTGAAAGATGGAATCTTGAAATATTCTCATGATGTTACAAGAACTTATAAGTGCAACAGCCTGACTCGTTGGGGGAAAAGAATGACACTCGGTTCTTGTCTCTGAAAAGATTTTCAGTAAGAGACCATTGCCAAGATCTAAGATAGATCTAAGCTAAACTTGTTGGACCAAGATCTAAGCTAAACTTGTCAAAGCATCTAATCATGATGATTACAACACAAAAGCTTAAAGATAGACCAGTGAATGTAGGATTTCAGTAAGAGACCATTGCCACAACTAAATTTAGTTGGTTAAGTAAAGCCAAGCTAATTTGAACATTGGTAGAACAAATCTGAAGCCAAGCTAATTTGAACATTGTTTATTCACCGACTTTGGTTTAGTAGATTTTTATCAAGACACTCAGTTATATAGGTGGTACATCGGACGAATTCCTACTAATGGCATTTTGAAAAACATATCAACATCTGAAATTTTTGATATGTAAAGGTTTGAATACTGTTACCAAATTTTAGGTATGGAAAACAATTGATCAAAATAACGTTTAAGATATATATTAGTTAGATTAGGTTTCAATGGCTTCGGATTAGGCATTGTATAAAATCAAAAATTCTGCTGGAACATAACATAAGGATATATTGCAAGAATTCTTGGTAATCAAACTTTGATAATTATATTACGACATAAGTATTGGTTAAAACAAATCAGCCATCAGAGAAGAACAAAAAAACTGTCATAATAGGAATTAAAATTTAAATATGTCACACTACAAGAAAACACGTCATTTGTGACTGTGAAAATGGTTGCTAAACGGTCGCAAAAGAGGGTTTTGCGACTGTTTAACGACTATTTCGGGCAGTCGCTAAAAAACGGTCGCAAAATTTCTAAGTCGCACGATAGTCGCAAAATTGCGACTCTTTAACGACTATAAATATATCGTCGCAGATTAACGACTAATCTGTGACTGGTGAATATCGTTGCAAATGTCCGACTATAGAGCAACGAACATAAGTTAGCGACTTTTTTGCGACTATAGTAACCACACATAATTGGTCCCACAGTGCGACTCGTTTGCGACTGTTTAGAGAGGTAATATTGTGCGACTAATTTGAGACTCTTATTATTTGGTGACAAAATAGTCCTCTATTAGTAACCAATTTGATACGAGATTTGGAGTTATTTCTAATTATGTTTAGTCACAATTTGGTCACATTTGTTACTTGTTCTGGTCACAAACTAGTCACATTTTCTTAAACAGTTTGGTCACAGAATAGTTACATCTTATTAATCCGAAACATGTCCATTTCAAAAGCAAATGCTACATTCAACCATTCAAATATCATTCAAGTACTTCCAAACCATTCAAATATCATCCTAATTAGAGCATAACATATCTTAATAAGTTTTCATGATCACAAAGAGAAAAGGAAATAAAAATCAAGTTCAATGATTAGAGGCGGTGTTAGATAAAGGGGAGGTTGGTGTGGTTCCAGTGGTGAGTCCTGCTGGTTGGACTGCTGCTGCTGTGGTGTCTGGAAGGGTGCCTGTTTGTGTGCTGGCTGGTATGATGACTGGTGGTTGCTGGAGTGGAGAAGAAGACATGAAGGCTGCCAAGTCAGGATCCTTGTCTTTCATAAAGACCTGCAATAGTATCGTGCTTTCAGGATCTCTTATCATAGCTCTTTGGTTTTAGGATAAAATTAAAGGATCAAAGACCTGCAATAGTATCGTGCTTTAGACCAAAGAAAGATGACAGCAAATTCCAAAGTAAAGAGCTAAAGAAAAAAGAAAAGAAAACAAAAAGCACTTATACATATTGCTATAGTAGCCCATGTCCAGACATGGTTCAAAAAATTAGGAAACCTCAAACACTAACCGACCAAACATGGGATGAATTGAACAACTACTACCTGCATCCAGAATTTAAGAGACCAAATAGGGAGAGTGATATGCATAAATTTTAAGGTAGCAACTAATAACTAAGAGCCTAAATTCCAAATTGGTGAACAATAACATTCGCTTCATGACAGACATGTAAAACAACACTAGGCTAAACAAGAAAGTTTTTTGATCAATTTCCTTCAGGACACACAATGTAATCTATTTATGATCGAGATTAAAGCATTATGGTGTTATCAAACAGTACGAATAATGCTAGATTTGAAGAGAAAACGAAGATCAAATACCACAGAAGAGACAAAACTACTACGTCTTTGTGCTATCAAGTCCCTTTGCAAACAATCCCACATAAACAGAGCCGAAGAGGGAACCCAAACTGATTGAACAGGTTATGATCTTATCACACATTTGTAGTTGGTAAAAGAAAGTGAAGTTCAATATTATAACACTGTGAAATTAGAGTCAAACTAACCTCAATCAAGATCTGGCGAATGAGAAAACCTTAAACCATTCTGCATGTTACGTAGATACACCTACAAGTATAAACATACCAAGTAAAAAGAAAGGGGACGAATATATCTACCTGGAATAAACAAAACATACGCAAATATGTAGAGCTCAAGAGTCATAATTAAGACACAGAGCAAGAGCAAGCATAAATAGAGATTATAGAGCAATTCATATTCAACTGGTCTAAACACAACTTAAAACAACTATAATCGGAGTTACCTTTGTAATGGTTGAGCTTAGATGGCAATGAGTCCCAACAAGCTTTAGCAGTTCGGGATGTGCATTCACCTCCCTCATCCAGAAACCATTATAGCTTCTCGTTCTTGATACCAAAGTTCTTGTTCCCAGTAAGTAGCTACATAAGGATGCACCTAAAAATGAAACAAAGCAGAAAAGCTCACTCATAACCAAGTTGTGTTGAACAGATATGTTAAAAAAATGTAAAACATTATGCTAAAACATTTAAAAAAATTAACCATACTTGAGGATTGACACACAACAGTACATTGACCTTCTTAGCAGCAATTCTTCAAGCTTCCACAATATTATTCAAGTCAAACTGATCACTATCAGTATTTACGAAAACACCTTCATGAGCAGCTAGGAACTAAATCTTCCAAGAGCTTTCCATTTCAACTGCAAATGCACCTATACAGAAAAGACATTAAAAATCTGTTTAGACCAATCATAAGCACATTTGAAATATTTGCTAATTGAAGGGGACCAAGTAGTAATCATGAAAACTGGTAAATAAGAGTCAGAGTAACCTAAACATGTTCTTGTTCCTCCGCGGCTACTGGTCTGGTGTCCTCCACGGCTACTGGTCTCGCCCCCTCCGCGGCGACTAGTCTCGCCTCCTCCAGCGGCTGCAGGTCTAGTGCTCTCGACTGGATCAGCGGCTACTGCTCTAGAGTTATGGCCTCCTCCAGCGGCTGTTGCTCTGGTGTTCTGACCCCCACCATGGCCTCGTGAAGATTTACCTTTAGGAGCCATGAAAATCGCAGTTTGAGTCGAAATTTAGGGTTTGAGACAATCGATTCGAACCCAGAGGAAAGGAACGAAGTGATTTGAGACTGAGATTCGAAGAATTGAGAAGATTTGAAGACTTTTGAGGAGATTTGAGAAGAAAATCGAAAATCGTAGTGAAGTGGATTTCACAAACCGTAGCTAAATAGTCGCACTATTGGTCGGCAAATAGTTGCACTATTCGTCGCACAATAGTTGCTAAATGAACAATAGTTACAAAATGGTGGCAAAACTGCGACCGTTTTGTGACTTTCGTCTATTAGTCACAAGACAAAATTTATAAATCTACACATTGTGATCCAAAATGGTGATATATATCACTCAAAAACACTCATATTAGTGTTATAGAGGACATATATTAGTTTAAGGTTGAAAAACTTATTAAAACTCAAGTAATATAGATATTTTACTAAATCCCTAAACATTACTCATAAGAGTACCAAATTAGTCGCAACATCGGTCGGCAAATAGTTACAACTGTTGTCGCAAAATAGTCGCAAACTTAGTAATAGTTACAAAATAGTGGCAATTTTGCGACGGTTTTGTGACTAGTATCTTCTAGTCACAAGATAAAATTTAGAAATCTACACATAGTGATCCAAAATGGTGATATATATCACTCAAAAACACTCATATTAGTGTTATAGAGGACATATATTAGTTTAAGGTTGAAATTTTTTGTAAAATTCAAGTTATATAGATATTTTACTAAATCTCTAAACATTACTCATAAGAGTAATGTAACAAGACAAAGATATTTGAATGTTTTGAATGTTTTGTTTTTAAACATCAATATTTATGTCTTTGGTTAAGATTTTATTACTAAGTAACATCAAATAAGTGTAGAATTATTTAACTTTATATGCAAACAAATTTAAAATGTGAAAATTGAGAAAACAAAAATCGAGGGTTGGTACATAGTCGCAAAACGGTCGCTATCTCAAGTGCCAGTCGCAAAAAAGTCGCAAAATCTTCAGGTGCTAGTCGCAAAATACGTACTACTTAGCGACTAAAATAAAAATTGGTCGAGAACAAGAGTTTCAATATATGTTCGTCGCAACTTCGTCGCACATTTGCGACTGATTAGCGACGTTATTTAAAATGTACAAAAAAAACTTGGGTAGATTCGAACTGTTGTCCTATAAGTCCAAGGGGAAGAATGTTGCCAAATTGCCAGAATACTTAATCGGTAGATTGGTAGAAACATTAGTATATATAATAGTTTTTTGATTTTTTGGTTTGTTATAGAGGACCATATATTGCTTTAAGGTTGAAAAACATTGCAAATCCCTAAACATTATACCATATACATAAGTAATATAGAGTTTATACTCAATCTCTAAACATTATACCCTTCTGAATTTCACATTTGGTCGCTAGTTAGTTGCACAACAGTGTCAAATAAAAAAATTGGGGAGAAATCTAAACCGCCCAAACACTTAGCAAAAATCTTAGAAATTTCGCGATTAGTATCAAATTCGTCACAACATTGGTCGGAAAATAGTTGCAAGAATTGTCGCAATATAGTCGCTACCTGAACAATATTTACAAATTAGTGGCAATTTTGCAACTCTTTTGTGACTGTCGACTATTAGTCACAAGCCAAAATTTAGAAATCTACACATTGTCATCCAAAATGGTGATATATATCACTCAAAAACACTCATATTAGTGTTATAGAGGACATATATTAGTTTAAGGTTGAAAAACTTATCAAAACTCAAGTAATATAGATATTTTACTAAATCCCTAAACATTACTCATAAGAGTATCAAATTAGTCGCAACATTGGTTGGCAAATAGTTACAACTGTTGTCACAAAATAGTCGCAAACGTAGAAATAGTTACAAATTGGTGGCACTTTTGCGACAAGATAAAATTTAGAAATCTACACATAGTGATCCAAAATGGTGATATATATCACTCAAAAACACTCATATTAGTGTTATAGAGGACATATATTAGTTTAAGGTTGAATTTTTTTGCAAAACTCAAGTAATATAGATATTTTACTAAATCTCTAAACATTACTCATAAGAGTAATGTAACAAGATAAAGAGATTTGAATGTTTTGAATGTTTTGTTTTTAAACATCAATATTTATGTCTTTGGTTAAGATTTTATTACTAAGTAACATCAAATGAGTGTAGAATTGTTTAACTTTATATGCAAACAAATTTAAAATGTGAAAATTGAGAAAACAAAAATCGAGAGTTGGTAAATAGTTGCAAACTGGTCGCCTTATCAGGTGTCAGTCGCAAAATCTTCAGGTGCTAGTTGCAAACCGGTCGCTATCGCTGCTTTTTTAACGTGTTTTATACCAACTTTTTCTAACTAATTTGCAACAAAAGTGTAACTATAACAAGTGGTTGTTAACTAGTTGCACATTTGAGACTACATTGCGACGATCATTTGAGACCAAAAATTGAGTCGCACATCAGTCGCATATCAGCCACCCATTTGCGACTATAATAAATTAGTCTGTAATCGGTCTTAAAATCATCGCAAATTAACGACCAAGTAAAGACCGTTTGTTTTAGTCGCGGAATAGCAACTATATTCCATCGGTCAATATTGTGGTCGCTAAATGGTCGTTCAGAAGTCACAAAATAGTCGCAAACATTTGCGACTAATAATTCGGTCGCAAAGTTTAGTTACAAAACGCAGGTTTTCTTGTAGTGTTGCATAAAACATATCTGCTATCATTATATAAGTCATTCCAACAATTTCTTTTTTTATCAATAAAACTGCTATCATACAACAGATTTGTCGTAATCTATCTGAAATTTGTCGTTATATACAAAAATCTGTGATAACATAAAACAATTCGGTTGCGACTATATGTCATTCTAGCAATTTATATTTTTATATAATACATCTGCTATCACAAAAACGGAGCGACCAACCCGGATGACGGAATTACGGCCCATTAGTCTCTGCAATGTTGGTTATAAAGTTATTTCAAAAATCCTTTGTCAAAGACTTAAGACGGTACTACCAAAACTTATTTCGGAAACCCAATCGGCTTTTGTAGAAGGACGACTAATCTCAGATAATATTCTTATAGCTCAGGAGATGTTTCATGGTCTGAGAACTAACCAGTCCTGTAAAGAAAAATTTATGGCTATTAAAACAGATATGAGTAAGGCTTACGATCGGGTTGAATGGAAGTTTATCGAAGAATTATTGAGGAAGATGGGATTCTGCGAAAAGAGGATTTTGTGGATGATGTGGTGTATCACAACAGTCCAATATAGAGTTCTTCTTAATGGACAACCCCGAGGACTAATTATTCCGGAAAGAGGATTAAGACAAGGAGATCCTTTATCTCCTTACTTATTTATTTTATATACGGAAGTGCTTATTGCGAATATAAGGAAAGCGGAACAACAAAAATTAATTACTGGTATTAGAGTATCCACATCTAGTCCTTCGGTATCTCATCTCTTATTTGCTGATGATAGTTTGTTCTTTTGCAAAGCCAATAAAGAACAATGTGGGGTAATTTTGGGGATTCTAAAGCAATATGAAATGGTTTCAGGGCAACAAATTAATTTTTCAAAATCTTCGATTCAGTTTGGCTATAAGAGCATCAGCAGTCGCACAATCAGGTGGGTGTGAGTCTTGGGGTGTAGGTATTAAAAAAACGAAAAAATTGTCTCTCTCTTCACACCCGGGTGTAAGTTTACACTCGGGTGTAACACTTTTTCTCTCTATCTCTCTCTTTCTTTCTCTTTCTCTTTTCTCTTTTGCTTTAAATTATAATACTAAAAAAATACTTACACCCACACAAACACATTTGCCACTGCTGATGGTCTAAGGTGGATGATTCTATTAAGGCATAAATAAAAGCAGTTCTAGGAATTCAAAACCTCGGGGGTATGGGATCTTATCTTGGTTTACCTGAAAGTCTTGGTGGATCGAAGACCAAGATCTTTTCTTTTGTCAGAGATAGACTTCAGGCTAGAATAAATGGTTGGTCAGCCAAAATTTTTATCAGAGGTAGATTCATCTTCTTATCCATGGATAATTTAGTACATTTGGATAGCAAGGAATGAAAAGATCTTTGACAATGTGGATAAAGATCCATTAGAGATCTTACGCTTTGCGGAGAAAGAGGCGCGATCGTGGCAGTTAGCTCAAATTGAGCTTCATACTGATAACCATGATTTTTTCGATAATGAAAATCAAAATCGAGTGAGGGAAATCTCACTGGATTCTAACTATTCAGGATATCGTTGTTTCATAGATGGATCATGGAAAGGAACCGATACATTTTCAAGAACAGGATGGTATTGTACATCATCAAATGGAGAGATGCCAACCATGGGAGCTGCCAACATCCGTAGAAGTCTATCTCCTCTACATACAAAAGTCGAAGCTCTTCTTTGGGCGATGAAGTGTATGATTGGTGCTGACAACCAAGATGTAGCTTTCTTTACAGACTGTTCAGATTTGGTGAAGATAGTGTCTTCTCCAACCGAATGGCCGGCTTTTTCAGTGTACCTGGAGGACCTTCAGAGTGACAGGAAAGAATTTTCAAGTTTTTCTTTATCTTTAATTCCTCGTAGCGCAAATGTAAAAGCAGATAAATTGGCTCGACAAGTTCGTACCGAACCGCTTCACATCACTTATGTAAACAACATTCCGCAAGATTGGCTCTTTTGAGTGTTTAATTTAAGTTGTTGACAAAAAAAATCTGCTATCACTCTCCAGATTTTTGTTTAAAAAAACAAAAACTGTCATAACCTAAAATAAATCTGTTATCACTAATAAGTCAAACTAGTTATTTCTTTTTTATTAACAACTCTGCTACATTATGACAGATTTTTATCAAAAAAATATAAGTTTGACGCCATTGAAAACATATATCTGTTACACATTTTAATAAATCTGTAAAATTACGAAAGTTTGTGGTGTCATCATAATATAAGTCTGTCGTGTGGAATAAATATGCTACAAATTAAAAATCTGTCGTAACCATATTCAGAAAAGTCGGTGGGAGGAAACAAATCTGGCGCAGAAAATCTGTCATAGCCAATTAAGTAGATTGTTTTTTCCAAAAAATTTCACCAACGTTTTTAAAAAAAATTGAGGGTAATTTTGACTTTTATTTTTTTCCTAACAAAGCCAAAAAGAGTATTTTGGTCATAAAAATAACTAGATTAACCTTTAAATTTTATGAGTTATTCTAGTAATTAAACCTAAATTTTGGGTCAAACTAGTTTTTTTTAAGGCCTTTTTTTAAACACCGCTTCTGGTTATTTCTGCTCTCCGCACTAATAGTATTATCATTATGGGTACGAAATATTGACACAAAAATGATACATGTATATATAATTAATAGAGATTTCTTTCTTTTTTTCTGATCACCAAAAAAAAGTGATTTATTAAAAATATCCAAAATGTTAATACTTAATACGATTGAATAAGAAGGAAAAAATATTGCTCAGGATTTTTTATCAGTTTCAATTTAAATGCAAATACACTTTACACTCTTTCTCTAAGATGAGGAACAATTACGAATCCAAATTATTGAATCTTATGACCAAAATTAAAAAACAGTAAGATCGTTTTTTCCACTATGTAACTGGAATACTCTCCCTCCGCATAAGATCTCGTCAGCAAGATCAGTTTCATTACAAATACTTCTTTCACGTTGGATTCCAATTATGCTTGTAACGCTTGTTAGTGAGATTCATGGGCCGTTTTCCTTTCTATATATGTAGCATCGATGCATCTGAATTGTCTCTCACTTCTTGTGATAAGTATAACTCTGAAATAAAACAAAAGAAAAACATAAAAAAGATAGAAATAGCATAAATGCATAATCTCTAAACAACGCCAACCCACAATAGTTTAACAGAAAATTTAGCTGGAAACATGATAAGAACATAAACATACTCTTTCAGTTAACAAACAAAAACATAAGAAGAACCGAAAATAATAAGAACAATTACTTTGGTCATACGTTCGGAGTTAAAATATATATAGAAACCATTGTACCTTGGTGATTGTTGTCTTGACATTCAATATGATTAAATCTCTTGATTTGGCATATGTTAAAATATATATAGAAACCATTGTACCTTGGTGATTGTTGTCTTGACATTCAATATGATTAAATCTCTTGATTTGGCATATGTTCACAACATTACCTATAAAATATTTGAAATAGAGAATACATGTCAGATTAGAATGTAAAAAATAAAACTGATACAAATTAAATATAATCTAGATATTCTATGAATGGATCAATGATTAAAAAGACTTTTGCTTCACCACTTACACGAATATGTTCCTAAGGCTGATGATAAGGTAGTATAAAACAATTTTAGATGATTCATGTATATCATCCAAAAGTCACTAAATCCAACAATCTGTATGTTAACCAATCGAAAGGATCATTACGTCCTTCTACTCCTATTTTCCCATCTGCTGAGGCTACCATTGTAAGGAATATATATTAAAAGAATAAAAAAGAGTGTAAGTTGATGTGAATATATTGACAAGAAGAAGATTAGGAAGTTTATCAACAACCGTTTTGTCAAGATGAATAATTCAAGCCAGGAATCAAGAGCAGCCAAGGTGCATTATCTCATGTGTTTCTTGGAGACATTTTAGAACATCAGGTAAATAGAATTTCCTGAACTAGAGTACTCAAGTATTTGGTAGTACTGGTAGGAAGCAATACTGTTCAAAGTAAATATATTTTCAATGCTTGACATGTATCACCAAACTTGCTCGCCATCTCACCAGCTGGTCCCATGGATACTGCAACACCAATGTTAGTCATCAATGTCTGCATTACATGATTTTTGTTACTATCCAAGAATCGTAGACAAAAATGGTATAGATAACAGTAAATATTCTTGACTAATTTTGGAATGAAATATCTAAAATAACAAGGGAATTATAGAAAAAAATCATGAATTCATAGAAGTTATAGTTGGTTGGATTTATTAGTCTCTTCTAGAATTTTAGTTACAACTTCAGCTGACTCCAAACTCATCTACAAAACTCTGAAAAGACTCATTTCAACTCTAAAGCTTAAAATAAATTTCCGCAAAAGAATTGATAAATTGATGAGAGTAAAGAACACAAAAGTGTTTAGGAAGAATTATAATAGACTCTCATTAGAATTATGGTACAAAATACATTCTCTTATATAGAGATAGATTGCCTAATCTAAGATAAATATAAATGTAAATAATATATTTAGAGATAATGTTAAACTTCCTAAACTTAAGATATGATAACTTCTAGATCCTTCTCGATCTTCATGATTTCCATAATCTTGGACGATCATCTCGACCGTCGATCTCGGTCGTTCTCCGGTTCTCCCAATAAGAATTGTACATCACCTTTCAATCAGGACTCTCAAAGCCTTAAGAAGATTTGAAATTGACGTTTGAACAACTCTCTTTTGAGCTGTAGTCCTTCAGAAAATTAGGGGTAATCTTGCTACTGATGATATAAGTAGAGTAAGTTAAGAGAATCCACAAAAATGTACTTCAAAAAGTTTTTTTTTTCTTTCTTTCTTATATTCGGCTTCAAGTCACTTAGTAGTGCAGGTCTGACATCATTACGAAACCCATTGAAGTCTGCAAACAGAAATAACACCGTTTAATTCACTCATTAAGATATGTTCTTCAAACAAAACAACTTAGACAGAGCAAACGTCGCTAAAAATAATTGTAAGTCACTTGAACCAACAATCTTGTGTAAAGCACCCAAAAGTTTGATTGTAGCATGTCTGGTGGTAGCTGTAACATCCTTACAAATATATATCAAAGCTTATCAAATGGACAGAAAAATAACTTTGATACTACACTGAAGTTTAATAAACAGGGAAATAAGGAGCTGGAAATTTCTAAGTTGCGAAAATTTCAAAACCTTAAGTTTGAAAAGTGTGGCACCAAAGTCATCAACTACCGTAACCAATACATAACAAGCCTTCACTAAGAACCTTGGGATTATTGTGCTCTTTCATGCTTTTTAAAAGCTACAAAGAAAAGCCATGAATCATCATTTTGATATTATTAATATGAAAGTCAAAGAAAAGTTAACGAACCAACACATAACCTCTTGTTATCAAATCCAAGACCAAATGATTCGTAGAATGCAGTAGGCCACTCATAGCAGAGGATCGTTTCTTTATATCTACGACGTGTTCATTAGTGCCTAGAAATGATAGAAAAACTCAACCAAATAATTTAAGAACAAATTCTGTAAGAAAAAAAAAAAAGAATTGACGTTAGAATAGAGCATTAATGACCTAAAGGTAGCTATTTCGTCGTATGATACTAACATGTAATGCAAAGTACAACACATTTCTTAGGAAATTTTGCCGCAGTCCAAGATATGTGAGTAATGATTTCAATGACTTGTGTAGTGAAAATTGAAGAATAATCACTTAAAATGAACTAACCTCTCAAGTAAAACGAAAAATGAGATATAGAAAGAGATAAGAACCAGTTAAGCCGTTTCTTGTCAACTGACTCTCAAGATCTCAGAAAAAACATCATTACTACCCAACAGTCTAGACAAAAAAGGTAGAGATAACAATATATATTCATGACTATTTTTGGATTAAAAATTCTAAAATCACAGAGAATTATATAAAATATCCTCACTTCATACCAGTTCCAGTTGGCTGGATACGTTTACTCGCCTCTTCCAGAATTTTATTTACAGCTTCAGTTAACTCCAAACGCATCTACAAATTTGGAAAGACTCAGTTTCAATTCTAAAGCTTAAAATAAATTTCCGCTAAAAAATTTATCTTCTCCTAAAGCAGTCATCCTCTCATTTGTTATCAATATACAAGAACCTTATATAATCTATATATATTACCTATCATTCACACATGAAACAAACTTTCTTCATACCTATCATCCACAAATGAAATAAGCTTTTTCTTCATACTGGTTTTTCAAATGTAAGTAACAACCTTCAATGAGAAAATGCAAAATAATCTCAGTCCAGAATAGAAGCCTAAACCTATGCTTCGTACTATCTAAAACAACATGAATAGAGTTATATGTTAGCTCAACAACATAAACTTCTTAAAGAAGCTTAAAAAAAAATCAATCATCTAAAGGGCTTCTAAACTGTATCCTAAAGAAAACAAACGAAGAAAATTATACCGTCACATACATATATGCCTCTAAATCAGTTTTTCGTCAGAAAATTCAATCAAACGGAGAATATATATGAGATAATCAGTTCAAGTCAAACTAAATATTTTTTATCGTGAAAATGTACATAAACAACATAGAGCTCTGAGTAATCCATGCTTACCGTATATCTCTCTGTCCATTTTACTTTCTTTCTCTGCACACATAAAACCTGCAAAACAAAAACAGAGCACATGAGAAACTAACATATGTTAAGATCAGATATAGATACAAAGATTGACAACTCAAGATTGATAACCTATCAACCCCGTCTCGACGTCCCTGTGCGTAAACTCCAACCACGGCTTACCAGATTAAGATTAAGAAATAAGACAGCAATGTCTCCGAATAGCAGATTAAGAAATTGTATTAGTGACTGGCATTACCCCAGAAATAAGCTAAGTTGAGTAACAGGCAAATCAAGGGGCATCTAACACTACTTACCGCAACTTTAGTGACACCCCAACAAGTAATCTGCCGTCTCAAAAATTAAAATTTTCCCTTTTTGTCTGTCTCATTTCTTCAAGCAAAGTAGACTTGAACGACCTGTAACATCAAAAAAGTAAATCATCACAACAAGAACAAGAATCAAACCGGAGACAAAGTGATGTTAAACAAATCTAAACCGAAAACACGGCAGCAGAATTTTTTTTTATCTTTGATTACAAGCCACCACGTCCTCCTACACTGTCGCTCTCTCTTGACTTAGCTTCCTTCACGGTGAAGCGACATTCATCAAGCTCTTTCCGGATCATCCTTCGATAACATCCCATTGAGGATTTCTTGTCGTTGAAGATCACGAAAGGAATCCCCTTGATCTTCCAGTCTCGGAATCGGCATTAACAGAATAAGAAAGTTTGTAAGTTGCTGTAATTATAATAACAAGTAGAAGATAATTAAGGAAGATTATCACCAACCGTTTTGTCAAGATGTACAGTACCAAGCCACGAATCAAGAGCAGCCAAGGTGCATTCTCTCATTTGTTTCTTGGAGACACTTTGGAACATCATATAGATTGGATTACTCAAGTATTTGGTACAGGTAGGAAGTAATAATGTACAGAGTAACATATATTTTCAGTGCTTGACATGTATCACCAAGAAGATACAAAATTGACGTTTGAACAACTCTCTTTTGATCTGTAGCCCTTAAGAATATTAGGGGTAATATTTCTACTGATGAACATAATATAAGTAGAGCAAGAAATACAAAACTTAAGACAATCCACACAAATGTACCTCAAAAGGGTTTTTTTTTTCTTTCTTTTTCATACGTCAAGTGCACTTAGTAGTGTAGGTCTGACATCATTAAAAAACCCCTTTAAAGTCTGCAAACAGAAATATCACAGTTTAATTCAATTATTAAAGATAAAACAAGTTAGACAAAGCAGAAGCATCTTAAAGGAATTCTTAGTCACCTGAACAAACAAACTTGTGTAAAGCACCCCAAAATTTTGATTGTAACATTTCTGGTGGGAGCTGTAACATCCTTACTAAAATCTATCAAGGCTTGTCAAATGGACAGAAAAAGCTCTTTTCTTCGATATTGCACTGCAGTTTAATAATCAGGGAAATCAGGAGCTGGAAATTTCTAAGTAGAAAAAACTTCAAAACTTTAAAATTCAAAAGTGAGGCACCACAGTCATCAACTGCTGAAACCATCCATAACAAGCCTTCACTAAGAACCTTGGGATTCTTGTGCTCCTTCATGTTTTTTAAAAGCTACAAACAAAAGCCATGAATCATCATTGTGATCTTACTAATATGAAAGTCAATGAAAAGTTACCGAACCAACACGGAACTTCTTGATATCAAATTTAGGACCAAATGATTCGTAGAATGCAGTAGGCCACTTCATAGCAGAGGATCGTGTCTTTATATCTACAACTTGTTCATTAGTGCCTATGAATGATAGAAAAACACGGCCAAATAAGCTAAGAACAAATTGTGTAAGAAAAAAATAGAACTGACGTTAGAATAGAGCATTCATCAACTAAAGGTAGCTTTTTCGTCGTATGATACTAACCTGTAATGGAAAGTACATCACATTTCATAGGAAACTTAGCCGCAGTCCAAGATATGTGAGTAATGATTCCAATGACTTGATGAATAACCACTTAAAATGAACTAACCTCTCAAGTAAAACGAAAAATGAGATATAGAAAGAGATAAGCACCAGTGATGAAGAGAGCTCCATTTTCTGGTTTTACAAGAGAACCTACTGTTTCAATCGCTTTAAGACCCATTTCCGCATGCTAAAAATGAAAAGATGAATAAGATATTAACACCAAAAAGGTCTGAAAGAAGGATTTATAGTCAAAATACATAACCAAAGTGTATAATGTATTTATACGTACCTAGATATCTTCAGGTGGTTCAACTTTCATTTCATACAGATCCACTTGTTTTTTCCTCCACTCGGTTTCCCAGTCCCAACCTTCTTGGTCACATTCTAAATCTTTGAAACACATTTCCAAACGTCAAAGCTTTTAATGGTTCTGGAAAAAACATCGTTTGTATGAACAGAAAAAAAAGAAACGAAGAGGAGAGAACATGTTAATCAGATAACCACATGATGGAGAGGTACTTCGAACAAATCATGGTTTTACTTTTTCAAGCCTTGGATATCTTTGATATTCTTTTCAATCTTAATGTACAGATATTTGTGTTCTATCCATGAATAGAACAAGTTAAGATTTGTTCTTGTCAACTGACTCTCAAGATCTCAGAAAAACATCATTACTACACAACAGTCTAGACAAAAAAGGTAGAGATAACAATAAATATTCATGACTAATTTTGGATTAAAAATTCTAAAATCACAGAGAATTATATAAAATATCCTCACTTCATACCAGTTCCAGTTGGCTGGATACGTTTACTCGCCTCTTCCAGAATTTTATTTACAGCTTCAGTTAACTCCAAACGCATCTACAAATTTGGAAAGACTCAGTTTCAATTCTAAAGCTTAAAATAAATTTCCGCTAAAGAATTGTTTGGTTTAGACAACAAAAGAAAAATTCTTTGATTTGAAACACAAGATATCCATAAATTAAGACAACCCACACAAATGTACCTTAAAAGAGATTTTTTTGTTCTTCTCATATTCGGCGTCAAGTCCACTTAGTAGTGTAGGTTTGACATCATTAAGAAACCCTCTGAAGTCTGCAAACAAAAAATTTTAATTCAGTTATTAAGATATGTTTTTCTAACAAAACAAGTTAGCCAAAGCATAAACAACTTAAGGAATTCTTAGCCACCTGAACCAACAAACTTGTGTAAAGCACCCAAAAGTTTGACGGTAACATTTCTGGTGGGAGCTGTACAAAAATCTAGTCAAATGGACATAAAAAGCTCTTTGTCGTAATGAAAACAACTTAGATACTGAACTGCAGTTTCATAAATAGGGAAACCTGGGCTGCAAAGTTCTAAGTAGGGAAAAATTCAAAACCTTAAGTTTTTGTCATTTTGGGATTCTTGCCAAAACAATACGTAACAAGCCATGAATCACTATGAACCTTGGGATTTTTGAGCTCTTTCATGTTTTTTTAAAAGTTACAAACAAAGCCATGAATCATCATTGTGATCAGATTAATATGAAAGCTAAAGACAAGTTACTGAACCAGCACATACCCTCTTGAAAACAAATCCATGACCAACAGCTTCGTAGATACTAGGGCACTTCATAGCAGTGCCTGCAAATGATAGAAAAACTCAGCCAAGGGAGCTAAGAACTAATTCTGTAAGAGAAAACACAATCGAACTGACGTCAGAATATGACACATTTTTTAATTGAAGGTAGCTTTTTCCTTATATGATACTAACCTGTAATGCAAAGTATGACACATTTCTTAGGAAATTTTACCACAGTCCATTTCCAATATATGTGAGTGATGATTTCAATGACTTGGGGGAGGGGGACGGATTCCAAAAATATATATAAGAAGATTTTAGATGGAATACCTGCATATATTTCTCATCCCAACCAGGAACTCCACACAACAACCAGACCAAGATTTCGACTTACTTGTCTAGTTCTTCTAGACCTTGTATCTCCTCTTACAAAGCCAAATTTGCTGTACGACAATAGAATTCAAAAAAACTAACCAAGCTAACAAATACCTTCAAGTTTTTCTTTCCATACAAAGAGCCCTAGTATCTGGTTTTACTAGAGAACCAACTGCTTTCAATCTTAAGACCCATCTCGGTAGGCTAAATTGAAAATAAGAACAAGATATTAACACCACAACTGTAAGAAGGATGAGTCAAAATACATAACCATTTATAAGTATATTAATATGTACCTTGACATCTTCAAGTTATTATAAACTTTCATTCCATATAGATCCGTCATTTTTGGCTCCACGTGATTAAACTCTACCGTCTCTTTCTATTGACTGGCTTCGTTCACGGTGAAGCTACGGTCATCAAGCTCTTTCCTGATCATCTCTTTGATAGCATCCCATGGAGTTATTGTCGTTGAAGATCACGAGTCAGAATCCCCTTCATCATCCAGTCTCGGATTCTGCATTAACAGAATACAAAAGACGGTTAGTTGCTGTAATTATATAAACAAGATGATAAGGAAGATATCACCAACCGTTTTGTCAATTTGCACAATACCAAGCCACCAATCAAGAGAAACCAAGGTGCAGTCTCTCATGTGCTTCTGGGAGACATTTTGGAACATTGGTTGATAGAATTCCTTGAAGTAGATTACTCAAAATATTTGGTAACAGTTGGAGGCTGTAATACTGTACAGAGTAAAATATATTTTTTAATGCGTGACATGTATCACCAACCTTGCTCGCCTTCTTGACAGTTGATCCCATGGCTACTTTAACACCAATAGTAATCAACCTTGCTCGCCTTCTTGACAGTTGATCCCATGGCTACTTTAACACCAATAGTAATCTCAAAGCCTTTAAGAAGATTTGCAACATACGTCTTAACAACTATTTTTGGAACCGCAGTCCCCGAATGAACAGAATATTAAAAAGATTAGGGGTAATCTTGCTACTGATGAACAGAATATAAGTAGAGCAAGAAAACCAAGAAATCCAAAAATTAAGACAATCCACACAAATGTACCTTTAAAAGATTTTTCTCATATTCAGCGTCTTAGTAGTGCAGGTTTGACTTCACTACGAAACCTTTTGTAGTCTGCAAACATATGTTCTTCTAACAAAACAAGTTAGAATAAGCAGAAGCAGCTTAAAGGAATTCTTAGCGACCTGAACCAACAAACTGATGTAAAGCACCCAAAAGTTTGATTGTAAGATTTATGGTGGCAACTGTAATATCCTTACAAAAATCTATCAAATCTTGTCGAATGAACAGAAATATCACCTTGTCATAATGAAAATAACTTAAGTAAAAACAGGGAAATCAGAGCTGGAAATTTTGAAGTAGAGAAATATTCAAAACCTTGGGTTTCAAAAGTGGGACACCAACTCATCAACTGTCGAAACCATCTACAACAATAGAATTGACAGTATCCATAAATCAAGAATCACCATTGTGATCAGATTAATATGAAATTAGTCAAAGAAAAGTTAACAAACCAGAGGACAGTTCATAGCAGACTCGTGTCTTTATATCTGCAACTTGTTCATTATTGCCTGCAAATGATAGAAAAAATCAGCCAAATGAGCTAAGAACTAATTCTGTAAGAAAAAGAAAAATAAAACTGACATCATAATACAACATTCTGAAACTAAAAGTAGCAGTTTCCTCATATGATACTAACCTGAAATGCAAAGTATGACACATTTCTTAGGAAACTTTGCCGCAATCCAAGATATGTGAGGAATGATTATAATAAGCATACCTGCACATATTTCGATACTTCAAACCATTTGCAAAAGTATGGACTGATCCAATACTGAAGAAGCCACTTAAAATGGAGATCAAATGTCTTGTAGCACTCTTCAATTCCATGTTCAACATCAAAACGAGACTCAGTTAATAAGAAGATTATATCACGTTTAACACAACACAATAACATCAAGTGGAACTGTCAGCATTCTAGAGTAGATAAACTTACCCTCCATCAATTTTCATTACTGAAGCAATGATCTCTCCTTCATATTAACTAGGAGGTTGGCTATTGAGACCCAAATAACACTTATTTCTCTACAATAGGAAGCATACAAGACTACGTTAAACTCACGAAATAAGACAGCAATGTCTCCACATATCAGATTAAGAAATTGGATTAGTGAGTGGTATTACCAGTCAAGTAACGTAGCAAATCAAGACGGTTTTGGTGACTGGCCAACAACTAATCATAGAACATGAAACAATCTGTAACATCAGCATAAGAACAAGAATTAAACCGGAGACACATGAACAAATCTAAACCAAAAAAAAAGCATCACAAAACCATTCACGGGGAAGCTACGGCCATCAAACTCTTTCCCGATCATCTCTTCGATATCATCCCATTAAAGATTTATTGTCCTTGAAGATCCCGAATCATAATCCCCTTGATCTTCTAATTCTCGCGATCTGTCAAAACCAAAATCACAAAACTATCAGAGAGATGGTATCGATGAAATAACAAAATCGATCTACCTCTGGGTTCACGAAAACAGGAATATTAACGTACCAATTGAGATAAATTAGGTAAGATTAACAAAGAGCGAGAGACAGAGTAACGATAATCGAATCAAGTAAACATGTCAATCTTGGAATCAGAATGATTGGAATTGCCTCGACGGAACCCTAAATCTGGGAGTTTGATCACTCGTGTGACTCACTTTAGAAACGAGAACGTCCTTTCTAGTGTTTGATCGTCGGTGGCCCAAGCAAAGCCGCCGGGAAAAAGCACCGGTACGTAATAGGAGAATTTGGGGTTTCAAAAAAAGGGAAGTTATTAGAGAGAGGGAGAGAGAGAGATTGTTTACGTTTTTCTTCCTCAAACGGCTATTTGCTTCTGTTATATAGAAGATCCAAATTTTGAAAAGGAAGATCACAAGACAAAAATATCCGTTTTAGAAAATAAATAATTAAATTCCAGCGTTGTACACGTCATAATTGTTAGCTGCGAAAGACCTAAACCAAGATTTTAAAATTTTGGTTTAGTAAAGGCGTGACATTTTTTGGTTAAGACTAACCATGATCATCTTATAAACGATTTTAGATTGGTTCGGCTTGGTCTAACATGTGACCTCAATTAACCCAATTAGTCCCCTACTTCTTAAGACTAGATTTTGTACCCGCGTGCGTTGCGCGGAATTTTGATTTAAAATTTCTTTTATTAATATAAACTTTTTAGCATAAAATATAATCATTAAAATTTAAAAAATAAATATTTGAGCATAAATATAATAAACGATATACAACATATATATTGTCGGCGATAATGTTTCCTTGACAAATAAATGGTTTGATATATATCATGTGGTAACAAAGATCACTTAAAAAATTCGCGAAAAGAATAAACGGCATTGAAGACCATCTAATGATCATTTATCTTATCTCTAAAAGTTTATTTCGTATTCATATTCCATGAAGACATTTCTTTAAAAGTTTTGACGTTAATTATCGATTGTTGACCTAATTGTAGATATTATTTATGATAAAATGTTGATCGAACATAACATCATTCTATATAAAATGTGAATATACCGAGTTTCATGAACATTATTTAGTCTAAAGGTAGATCTATAATACCATGTTGCTAAAACAGATTTAGCGAACTTGTTTTACCCATCAAAGCAAGTGCAGCGAGCAATAAGATAATTCTCGATTACATGATTACATGACCAAACGGTAAAGTCCAACTTTGAATCTAATAATCTGTTTAATAATGTATTTCATGTATTTTTCTAAGAACTCATTCGTTTCACACAATGAATGAGATCTCAAAGATTTTACTTTAGTCTTGTGCATTATCTTTCTAAGTTTTAGAAATTTATTTTTACACACTTTTAACTACCAATTTTTTCGTCATCTTCTATGATAAACTCGTTGTCTCTCGACATCTACTTTTTCACCTTTTATTAACTCACATATAATATATATATGGGGCTTATTATTACTCGATTTGTTTGGATTATGCAGTTCATTCTAGATGTGCAACAAGGAGGGATGTGTGGGATGGACGAGAACTTGAGGATGAGCCTGAAGAAAACGAAGAATGTGAAGAACCATATAGGATTGTGAGTGATGGAGTAATAAATCACTTTAGCCATCGAGAGCATGATCTAAGACTTGAGGATGGTCCTACCGATATACATGATGAATATATGCGTTTCAGAGCATGCGTGCGTCCGGTCTACTCTAACACATTCTATAGTTGTATGCAATGTGATGATTTCATTCTCCACGAAACGTGTGCTAACCTTCCTCGAAAGAAGCAACATGTACTACAAAATCATCAACTTACTCTATACCCTGATGACAACATAGTCATGGATTTTCCGATGCTTCGTGGAGTTTTCTTATGCTCTGCTTGTCACCGACTCTGTAGTGGTTTCAGGTATGAATGTTGCAATATCAAATTAGATGTACGATGCGGTTCAATATTCGAACCATTTTTCTACGAATGTCACCCGCATCCTTTGTTCCAGACTTCACTAGATAGCAAGGTATGTGTGACTTGCAAGCAAGAGTCGGATTATGTTTTGACTTGTATAGATTGCGATTTTGTTTTGGATTTTAAGTGTGCTACTTTACCACCTAAGGTAAGGTATAAATACGATAGACATCCTCTTAAACTATGCTACGATGGAGACAAGGACATCGCCGGTAGTTATTGGTGCGAGATATGTGAGAGAGAAATGGATCAAAAGATAATATTTTACACTTGCGGAAGCTCTGGTCCGACTACTCATATCGAGTTTGTACTGGGAGATTTCAGGTATGTGAAGCTTCGACTACATTTTGAGTTCAATAAAAAGAAATGGGAAGTGGCTTTGAATGGTATTAATCGACCAGGATGCTACAAGTGTGGCTTTCATAGACTAGGAAACTCGGTCATTTCATACCCAACCTATATATTAGTGTTCAATTCATACATGAAAATTTACTATGTGTCAATACATACCCAATCTATTAAAATTTTTAAATTTCATACCCAAACTTATCAAATTGTGCGAAATCACACATCTCTTGTCTCTATTGCTGACTTGGATGCCACGTCGTTTATGACGTTGATGTCGTGGTTGTCACATCCTTCATGACGTCGTTGCCACATCATCATCATTTTAAACAAAAATAATTTTTTTTTTTCTTCTCATTTTTTTCCATCACTATCATCCAACGGAACTATGAAAAAAATTATATATTTGATGTAAAAATTTAAAAATTTGCAATTCTTCTAAAAATCTTCAAATCACTTTTAGTATAAAACATAAACCCTTACAATATATCTTCTAGATTTGAAGATTTTTAGAAAAAGAATTGCGAATTTTGAGTTTAGAAACTCGGTTTAAATATTAGTTTCGGTTCAAATATTAGTTATAAGTCTTGAAAAGAAGATTTTAAATTCTTACATTAAATATATATTTTTTTCAGAATTCCGTTGGATGATAGTGATGGACAAAAAACATAAAGAGAAAAAAAAATAATTTTTATTTTTGTTTAAAATGGTGATGACGTGACAACGACGTCATGAAAGACGTGGCAACCATATCATCAACGTCATCAACGACGTGGCATCCACGTCGGCAGTAAAGACAAAAGTTATGTGATTTCGCATAATTTGATAAGTTTGGATATAAAATTTGAAAATTTTAAAAGATTGGGTATGTATTGGCACATAATAAACTTTCATGCACTACAAGAAAAATGCACATTTTTAACACGACAGAAGTGCTATAATATGTCATTTATAGCGTTTTCATAAATGCTATTTTATGCCCCTGTTATAGTAGGTGCCCCACATACGATAACATTTTTTTAGTATGCTATTGTAAGTCGTTTTATTATAGCATTAACCAAATGCTTTAATATACTTTCTTGTAACACATGTTTTGTGCTGTTTTATATTATGTTGTAGCATTTTTGTTTCGCTATACGAATATATTAATTTGATTTATATAAATTTATAATTGAATCCTATTTTGCATAATTTTTTAAATTGGATTTATATACTATTTATATATTACATAAATCATCAAAATACATAACATTAATATCAAATTAACCAAAACAAGTTTTACATAACATCATACCAAGTCTTATACTAACATCGTAAGTGCCACCAAGTCTTACACAAAATAAACTAACATTAGACAAACTTCTTAAGCTAAGATAGCAACTTGCACTTCGTACATCAGTTTACCTTCATTCCTCCCATGGCCATACCCATCGTAAGCTTGACTTCAGTCTCTTTGCATCTTTCAGTCTTTTAGTGTAAATATATCTCCCTGGAAACATTATGTATTGGCATCCACCAACCTATTCAGTTCAAAAAAACAATACTAAAGTAAATTAGAGATGACTTTTCAATAGTCTGTCCAAGAAAGCAAAACAATTCAGCTAGTTAAGCACCTGCATTCCAAAATGCACGTCTCTAGATATGTATATAAAACTTAAGAAGAAGCTAGTCCCCAAGTATACTAACACTATGATTGATACCAGATCTGCTCCAGTTTCTCTGATCACATGCTCCACGTAATCTCAGACAAGAACATATGATTTGATGTTCATTGCAAGATGGTAACATGATTGTGCATACACAAATCTGAACCTAGATAAGAAATAAAGACCTGAACTTTAAGCTCCACAACTGCAAGCTCATTTTTGATGTTAGTTATCGCATCTTCATGTGTTTTAAGCTGCAAAAATATTTCAGTAGTCAACAAACAAGTTAAATTACTCGTTTTGATACAATGGATGTTTTTACAAAGAAAATAGATGAAGTAAAGTAGCATGTTTCTGTGCCCTAAAATTCACTTACACCTAGGTGATTTATCTTACTTTCATCAAGAATACTTCCATGTGAGTACTAATTAGTATGCAAGAAGCAAAACGAATAAGTAAAACCAACGCCCATTCCAAACACACAAGCCACACTCCAACAAAAATATCCAAAAGAAAAGAGAACCCGTTAGACCCATTAGCTAACTGACAACAAACTTGATCATCGACAACCATTTCACTGTTTCAGTGATACTATTAATTTAAAGAGAATATGAGTTCATAATCGTACCTGGAGACCAACTGATTCGAATCTTAAGCACCCACCAAAGATAAACTATACCTCTTCTCTACTCTTATACGTGTTAATGACTTGGAAGGTAGAATCTTAAGGACCTGCAAGTTTCAACAGCAACACCACAAACCAAAATCAACACAAAACAGTTCAAAACTCTAATTTTTATTCACAACAATGAGATTTTTATTCACAAAACTGTTCTAGTAATACTAATATCAAATGAGATATGTAAATCTAATAGGAATAAGCTTACAGAACACCAAACAATGTTAAGTAACAAGCAAGCCAATAATGAGGCAATTCGTCGAACACCTGGAGGGCATGAAAAGCATCATCAGTTTTTCGGCCAAAAGCTTATAAGATTTTAATCTAACCCAAATCGATCAACTGAACCCTAACAAAATCTAACCCAAGTGCTCATAAATCTATTGAACCCTAACAAAATCGTACCTGCGGATGCAAAAGAGAAGGATAAAGAGGGAGGAGGCTGACACAATTGAAGAACCGAGCGTCGAAGATGGTTTGGGGCTTCAAGCCAACGAAATTGAAAGCTATGGTTTAGGGTATCTGAGGCAAGCGACGAAGATGGAAAATGATTCATTTATAGAATTTAAGAAGAAGAGGAATTTGGGGATGAAATTGATAGAATCCAATAGATCCAGGGGTGTATAATCATATGGAGAGAGTGACGAGGTAAAGGAGAGCTGAGGAGAAATGAATAATCTAGGAAGAAAGGAAGAATCGAGGAAGATAGCGGAGAGGTAAAGGAGAGAAAGAGGATAGAGAAGATATATAGAAATTAGGGTTTGATTTTAATTTGAGCGTTTTCTTATTTTTTTGGCTAAGTGTTGGTGCTCTGGGCAAATTTTTGTTAAATATTTAGCAGTCATAAGTGATTTTAGTTTCGGCTCTGTTATTATAGGGCTTAGCGTTTCTGAAATGCTATAATATAGTTACCAAAATTCGAGTACCATCTTTAATAGCAGATGCGAAAAATGCGCTATCGTAATGTGCTATCAATGCTCATATTTTTTGTAGTGATGTATGAATTGAACATTACTGTATAGATTGGGTATGAAATAGCCGATTTCCGCGTAGACTATGATAATAGTTAGGTGTACGATAGTATAAGAGATTGAATTGTAATATTATCTATATATGATCCTTCTTTTTAACATATTACTAGATTTTAATCCGCGGTGTACCGCGGGATGATTTATTTTTTAAAGTTAGTATATATAAATTTTTGCAAATTGTATCTCCTAAATATTTTATAGTATATAGTTTTTATTAAATAACGGTATACCACGAGTCCACGGGACAATTGTTAATAAACTGAGGATTTAACCCGTATTAAAGCGGCATGTTAATGATATTTTAAAATTTTATTAATATTGATTCAAACCCGTCCGTCATATAAACTCGTTCCGAAATATAACTCGTCCCGTAATTTTTTAACCCGTTCCGTAATTTCTTAACTCGTCCCGTGATTTGTTTTCTAAAAGTAGTGATTTTAAAATTTAATGATTATTTACTATATAAAAGTTTACAAATTGTATCATTTTCTAAGACATTTATATTTTAATAAACTGAGGATTTGATCTGTGTTAAAGCAGCATGTTAATGATATTTTAAAATTTTATAAATATTGATTCAAACTCGTCCACCATATAACCTCGTTCTCAAAATATAACCCGTTCTGTAATTTTTAACCCGTCCCGTGATTTATTTTCTAAAAGTAGTAATTTAAAATTTTTAATGATTATTTGTTATATATAAAAGTTTGCAAATTGCATCATTCTCTAATACATTTAAATTTTATAGTTTACAATTGTTATTAGGGTAACATTATACCACGGGATAATTTTTGGTTTTATACAATTTTTTCTAAATGAGACTCATTTGATATGTATAATATTGGTCGTATTAAAAAAATTAAGGATTTAATTCGTACTGAACCGGCGGATTAATGATATTTTCATATTTTTATTATTGTTGATCCAAAACCTGTCCCGCCAAACTCGTCCCGTCAAAAAACACATTTATTTTACTAATATTGATCTTATTTATGATATGATTCCGAATAATTGTCTAAATATTTTAGTCGATGTGGAACGTTGAACATACATTTTTCGTCAATTGGATAATATATGTCCGTTTTCTAAATTTCGAATCACAGTATAGGCAGAAAATGTTTTTGATTTTTTTTACTTCATGTATTATATGATGATTCAAAACAGTTAAAAACAATTCAAACAAAGATGATAGGAGAATCATAATTCTAAATCTTAATCAAATCTTCTAAATATCTAAATTATTAAATATGGAATATTCGGTGTATGAGTTGGATTAAATATAATCCGATCCAACAAATTTTTTATGATCAAAATTTGTAAACGGATATCGAATATCCATAGTATCTAAATGCATTTTGCCCCACCCGCTAAAAATGTACTTCAAAAATACTAGTCTCCTATTTCTTAAGATTTCAAATGATTGGTAACCGAAATTACAGAGTCAAATCTTTAACTTTGATTAAATTATTGGTGAGTATTATGCGAATAAAAGAGCATTTAAGAAAATAACTAAAAATGACAAAGTGAAACGCATGTTTTCTTGCGTTTTGCCTTATCTTATCTCATCGTCAAAAACTTTTTTTTAAAAAAGAGAGTAAGAGACAGAGCGCGAAGTAATTCTGTCCAATTCCTCTGATTCTGCAAAGCTTTTTCTAGGAAATTTTTCTAGAATGTAATACATGTGCCTCTAGAATTCCATGCACAATCATTTATTTTCTTACCAGATTCGACAAAGGGGAAATGGTCACATACTTATAACCAAAAAGCTGGATCATGGTATTTTTAGAAGAAGAAAAAAAAATATTGCATTTTTTTGTAATACAAAATATTGTAAACTTTTATCAATAATTTTGCGATATTACTTCATATCAAAATTAAATTTATCCTAAATATATATTCAAAATACAAATTATAGTGTTTTTTGTTTCTGCATCATGTTCGAATCTTAGAGAGAGAAGCAGCACTAAACCAACAAATCTTAAATCAAGTAACCAACTGGTTATTAATTAATTTATAGCAAAAATATAACATCTCACATCTCCCATGGAGATGTTTGATTATAATTATGCTTATCTAATTTCTCATCATTTGTATATCCAAGTGGACAATAATGAAATTGAAGCCCAATTTTTAATGGATTTAGGCCCAAAATTCAGTTTGACTTTTACTAAAAATGGACGATTTCAATGCTTTAATCACTAATCGGCCAATTAATAGTTTAAACGATTAATAAATACGATTAGAGTTAAATCGCGGCGGTAAGCCTACGCTGAGCGACTAGGCGCCCGATTAATCGATTAGGCGCCTGATTTTTATGAACAAGGGTTTAAAGTATACCCCTCCATGATCGATCAAGACCTTGATCTTAAAGATGAAATTGTTGTTGTCGTAGATCTGAAGCCCATGTACCTAAACCAACGGATCCATTATTCAAAATTAAGTATGTTGCACATCCATTTAGTTATTAAATAAACCTAATTAAACCCACGGTTTAAAGGGTTTAACCATGCATAGATATTTGGTTAAGGTAGTAAATCCCAATATATTTATTTCTTTATCCTATAGGTTACAATTTCCATTTTATTTTTTTATAAGAAAATTACACATGAGGATTATAATTTTCTCATATATGTGAAAGAATGTGTAATCATTCACAAATTAAAGTCACGATGAACTAGTGAACTTTCAAAAACCACCATTATAAATAGCAGCAATACAAACCCTTTAATTTAACAAAAGAAAAAAAGAGGAAAATATCAGCAATAAATAAAATTCTAAATAACACTTTTTAAACTATAACTTAAAGAGAAGTCATCGGGCTAAAATACAAATTAACAAAAAAAAAAAGAGAGAAGAAGATTCTTGGAAGTTCGCCAGTTTAAGTTTCTCGTAATGCATCAGAAATCGACATTTCACCAGTCACGGTTCTAAAGTTTTTAAAGTAAAAGTACATATATTATCAATATCTAGAAACCAATATAAAAAATCCTTGGACACATATTCGAAAAAATAATTTTAAAACATTAATATTTTTTTTTTTTAACATTAATAATTACGTTACGTACATATAAAGAGCTTTGGTGGAATGGTAGCTCACCGATATCTAATTGGATGATAACTCGTTTTTCATTTAGTTCAGTGCATAATGTAAACTATGCACGTAAGAAACTAAATTAAAACAAAACGTAATGAGTTTCGGGATATTTCTGCTGTTGATTATATATAAAGACAAAGTAAAGCTTGGCCTAACCAAACTCATAAGTGGTTTTGTTTTATTAAAAAGTAAAAAGTCTTAGAAACTAGTGGATTGATGTCACGTTTCTTCCTATATATAATATAACATGTAAAAATATAATCTAGACTTAGATAAATACGACTTTACTGTTTTCGTTAATTTGAAAGTTTCGTTTGACCAAGAAATGTAGTTACATATTTGTTGGAAAAGGTGAACCCATAAGTCAAATCGGACCAAGAGATGTAGTTACATGTTTTTTGCTTACCAAAAACATATTTTGTGAAATACAAAATTCTTTTATCCGAATGTAACTAATTTTAGAAAGACGTCTCTTATATATTTTGTTTTGGGCAAATGAAAGACGTCTCTTATATAAATATATGTATATGCCTCTCTATTCTTTGATTAACTTCAGTCAAAATAATTAATTTACTAAACCCTCCCAAAATGTCACATTCCTTCTTCCATTTCTTCCTAATCTCTCTTTTCCTCTACAAAAATTGCATCGCGCATCGCTACACATTCACGGTAAGTTTAAATTAGTTAATCGATTAGGCGTGATTAAACTAACTTTAATTGATGAAAAACTAATCATAAAGTTAATCATTGGCAGGTTAGGGAAGTTCCATATACGAAACTGTGTAGCACGAAGACGATTTTAACCGTTAATAGTCAGTTTCCTGGACCTGTTATAAAGGTTCACAAAGGAGACACTATTTATGTTAACGTTCGTAACCGAGCTAGTGAAAACATCACAATGCATTGGTAATCTAAGACCCTTTTCTTCTTACAAGCTTATAATATATTAATTCGGTGATGGTTGAATAAGTGTGTATGTATCTTAAATATAGGCATGGTGTAGAGCAGCCAAGAAACCCGTGGTCAGATGGTCCTGAATACATCACACAATGCCCGATTCGACCCGGGTCAGATTTTATGTACAAAGTCATATTTTCTATCGAAGACACGACTGTTTGGTGGCACGCGCATAGCTCTTGGACACGTGCAACTGTACACGGTCTTATTTTCGTATATCCTCGCCCCCCGGAATCCCTCCCGTTCCCAAAGGCGGACCATGAAGTCCCTTTAGTTTTGGGTAAGTGGACAAAATATTTATATTTTCAGATGTTTATTGTATATTAGATAAAATTACACTCTTTTTTCTAAAAATAATTTCATATAACTGGACAGGGGAGTGGTGGAAAAGGGATGTGAGAGAGGTGGTGGAGGAGTTTATAAGGACAGGAGGGGCTCCTAATGTGTCCGATGCTTTGACAATCAATGGACATCCTGGTTTCTTGTATCCTTGCTCTAAATCAGGTTTTCTTATTATTTTCAAAATTTTTTAATATCATTTTTCATTGATTAGTACTTTCGTAATCTGTAATTTTATCACAATTGTGGGATAAAAACTACTAATATAAGTGTTAAATGATAATTACGGATATAAGTGTAACTGTGAATTAAAATCATTGAATGTGAAGAGATAGATTAGGAAACTTATTAGAGTAATTACAATGAGCATTTGTTATAAAAAAAATTAACAAAAAAATGTATAAGAATCTTCTTTTGTAGATATTTTTATTGTTTTTCTTTGTTTTAAATTGTTTGAAAGTTATCCGGATTTGATCAGATAATTATTTGTATTTCACTGTATTAGTTGTTAGCTGTTATAACTAGTTAGGAACTTATGACTGACTGATAACAACATCGTAAAGGCTTTGACAAAAAGAAAAAAAAAAGTTGTAAAAGATAGTTATTATATATGACTTTAAACTTTTAATTTGTTTATATTTTTGCAAGTATACATTTCTTGTTTGCATGATGCATGCATATATGTTTAAAAATTATTTAATAATTTTGTTATTTTACATGAACAGATACCTTTCATCTCAAGGTAGAGAAGGGCAAAACCTACCGCATTCGGATGGTAAATGCCGCGATGAACCTAATTCTATTTTTCGCAATCGCGAACCACAGCCTCACCGTGGTTGCGGCAGATGGACACTACATCAAACCTTTAAAGGCTACTTATATAACCATATCCCCTGGCGAAACGCTAGACATGTTATTACAAGCTGACCAAAACCCAAAACGCATTTATTACATGGCGGCCAGAGCTTACCAAACCGGAAATATCGCTTTCGACAACTCCACTACCATAGGAATCTTAAGTTACTTCTCTTCACACAAAGCGAAAACACCATCGTTTTCAGGATATTACCCAACCCTTCCTTTTTACAATGACACCTCAGCAGCTTTCGGGTTCTTTACCAAGATCAAAAGCCTATACTCCGGTCAAGTTCCTGTTCAAATCTCGCGTAGGATAATCACAACGATTTCAATAAATCTCCGCATGTGTCCTCAAAACTCTTGCGAAGGTCCAAACGGGTCGAGATTAGCAGCGAGTATGAACAACATATCGTTTGTCACACCAAGTCACATGGACATACTAAAAGCTTATTACTATCACATTAAAGGCGTTTATGGAACGCGGTTTCCAGAGTTTCCACCGTTGTTTTTCAATTTCACGGCAGAAAATCAACCATTGTTTTTGGAAACTCCGAGACTCGCGACTGAGGTAAAGGTGATTGAGTTCGGGCAAGTGGTTGAGCTTGTTATTCAAGGGACGAGTTTGGTTAATGCACTCGATCATCCTATGCATCTCCACGGTTTTAGCTTCTTTGTGGTTGGAGTAGGGTTTGGGAACTTTAACATAAGTGAAGGAGAACCATCTTCATTGTATAATCTCGTGGATCCACCGTACAAAAATACAATGACCGTGCCCATTAATGGTTGGATCGCTATCAGATTTCAAGCTAATAATCCCGGTACGTACCTTCCATAAATGCTTATTTTATAATCTTATAAACCTAGATAAACAGAAAAGAGTTGATAAGTTAGTGTCTTCCTAAGTGTCATTCTCACCTTTTGTTTGTTATTTAAATTGTGGTGTTGTAACCAACCACACTAGACGGAGGTTTTTAAAAAGCCAAAAGACCTAACTAAATCGGATTTAACCAAAACAATTTATCCGATTTTTTATTGACTAAAAGATTTGACAAAACTCGAAAATCGAATTTAATTTTGAACCATGCCAAAGTAATATTTCTTCAAAGATCATATTTGTACAGTTGTCTAATTATATTAAATACATATACCATAAATTAGAAATGATAAGGTATTTATAAGTTACTCTATTTTAAATCTAAACCTGAATAGAAACTGAAATAAAATCGAAATAAATCCAACCGACCAAAAAAATTAGATTTCGGGTGAGTCATCTATAACAAATTAAAATAAACCTAACCATAATTATGATTCTATCGAAATGAACCAACCACGTCAAATAATAATTTATCACTTTTGAAGATGATGGTTATAATCTTGTAATTGTGTTTTATAGGGGTTTGGTTCATGCACTGTCACTTGGATAGACATCAAACGTGGGGTATGAATGTTGTGTTCATTGTTAAGAATGGGAGAGAGCCAAATCAGCAGATTCTGCCTCCACCAGATGATTTGCCGCCTTGTTATGAATAATTGAATGTTACCAGTGCTTTCATCTACTAAAATTGGTGATTCAATTGTCACCAATTTGAGTATATTTAAATTATTATCATATTGTATTGTATTGATGTATTTAACGCGATTTACTAAAATACATATTAGTTTTCTAATAATATTATTTATGGTGGTAATAAAAAGAAAGAAAAATGTATAATCTTGTGTCATCACAAAAAAAAAATGAAAGAATGAAGTTTAAATATATGAAAAAAGAATGGAGTTGCCGGTATCCTTGGATGAAACAGCGGCTGTTAAAATGGTTGTTGTAGGTCATGTTCTTTTGATAATCGCACGACTCCAACAAGCGACTCATTGTAGCCAATATTAAGTATTATAATTATTGGTCACTTTTTATTGTCGCAACGACTCTCCCGAACATACCAAATATATAAGAATAGTAATTTCTAAAAATTCAAAATTGAATAAATATTTCTCAACTAAAAATCATGAGATGTAGTTGCTTATTTTCTGATAAATGGTTAAACAATTTTTTTTTTTTTTGTGCAAACAAGATTTCATTCATTCATCCAAACAAACCAGTTCAAAGTACAAAGGAGAAGAAATCAAAGATCTCAAAGTTTAAAGCATGAAAATAAGGGGCCTTCCCCTAAGCAACAAAAGGATAGAATAATTTGACTTGTGATCCATACATGCTTGGAGACCAATGCTAGCAAGCAAATTGGAATAAGCAAATCCATGGTGAGTCGAATTAACTTCCACGAGTAAAATTCGATAGATGAGAGAGTGGTCACGGTCATAGCTTCATACCAAGAAAAATATCAAAGCCCACTAGAAATTGATTGTTGTCTGAATGATCTTCCAGTAACTGATTTCAATATGACCTTCAAGTGGGCCTCTACTTTCCAAGAGAAACTGAAGATAGATTTTAAGGGACGGTGATTCGTCTCGGGAGTCCCTGGTTCTTTTTACTCGAGGCTTTCCCGAGTAAATCTCTTCATTTTGTTCATTCAGCTTGTAGTTTCTATTGGCTCTCTAAAGTCCATACGTGAAGGGATTGAGGATAGCAAGAAGAATGTGTATATATATTAGAAATCCTTGCCAGTTAAATGTGTCCAATAGTTACTTGGACCAGTTTCAAAATGACTTTTCGTTATTGTTATAACTGTGTTCTGAAGAAGTAATGCCTAACGAACGCATGGTTCTCACATGCAAAGACAGAAATGCTTCTCATCATCTTTATAGAGAGAGTTTTCACTATTGGTCGTTGTTGACTGATTCCCTCGTCGACTAGGTTCCTCAATTCTAACAATGTTTATAGGCATTGTTGAAGTTTATATATTCATTATTGTTAAGTAGAGAATATTTCTATACGAAAATTAAATGTCACATATTGTCATGGCAAAGGGTTATAAAAGAATCAGAGGTAGATTCATTCAACTTGCCGTTCTATGATGCGGTGTGAAGAATAGGTGAGGGAAGTTGTTGAAAACGAAGGATCTTTCGAGATTAACAAAATCGGAACACATGAACATCTAGTTCCATACAAAGATAGTGGGGAAGATGACGATGAAACATGTCGACTAAAGTTTGGGGAAATGATGGCAAACAGGAAAAGAACCATCACTGAACCGATGTTGGTTACTCATTTTGGAGATGCAATATCGAGCGCCTGTTTAAGAAGTACGCACACAATGCAGCCCAATATTACATTGTTTCAAGACGCTGCAACAAAACAACCGTCAACTTTGTTTTGTTAACTACTAGAAAATAAAAGGTTTTGTTGTTTCTTTTCTTCTTTTGGGTCACGAATGGTTTCGTTTTGCTGCAGGTAATGATGGAACTGTGTGTCGTCTCAGTCCCATTATACGGATTTGTTTTGCTTACTTATAGGTTAAGAGCTTAGCTTTTACTCTTTATAGATTAAAGTTTTGAAAATATGTGCTCATCGTTCCTTACTAATTTCATAGACAACACTAAAGTTCATCTCATAATATTTCCAAAAGCTAAAGATGTGGTAATGTTTCTTCTCTCGCACTCCTACAAGTCAGTCATATATTCAGGTAGGGGATATCTCCATGTCTTTTACCATATCAATATCATCACCACCTTGAGGGATCTCTGTGTGGTGACAATCGCCATTGTAGGTGAAGTGATGCATCTGTGTTATGTGATCCTGTTGAAGTGCTGTGGTCTTGTGGCTTCTACTCCAGTCCCTTCGGCTCCAAAGGTACAGAGGTGGCGGTATATTGTTCCACTGCTCTATCGTTTTATCATTCACATCTACTGACCCGGGCAAGTAGAACGACTGCAGCACAAAAAGAAAAGAGTTTGATCGAAAGCTTATTCATAAATTAAACGAGAGTTGGAGTCATTTGTACACGTACGTACCATTCCAGCAAGTAAATTTCTGTCCTCCCAAATCAACTCATAATCAGCAATCGCATCGACCCTGAATGTAGACAAACCCAGAGTTATGAAAAGTTTGTCATTGATACTGTCTATTTGCTATTTACCTTTTTGTTTCACTTGGTACGATGAGGATTAAGATCTTCGGTTTAAACTCGAGGGCCTTCTTAATGAAAGTGTTAGCAAGGCTGGCTTTATGACCGAAAGGCGGGTTCAATCCCATTATCTGTTTTTATCCATGACAAAAAGAAAACTTAATCAGTGTATTCAATATATGCATCTCAACTTTAGGATTTCATTTGCTTTCTTACCAGTTGAGAGCAATCGGGTAACTCTTCTGGCTTCACACTCAACCAGTCTCTCTTCTCAAAATTAAAGTTGTTCTGCCATGGGAACGTCATGTTTTAGAAACAGCTTCAAACAGAAGATTCAAAGAGTGGTTGCTATACCTTAGGTGGAATGAGATCAAAGTTTTTGAAGAAGCATGTTTTCCCCGTTTCCATAAGCTTTTCTTTCATCAAACAACTGAAGTCATTAGAGCCGCAGCAAAAGTCGACTACCTGAAACCACCGAGAGTTTATCAAGAATGTTATATTTTACCTAGTAGCAGAGGTATTGGTTAAGGAATTATTAGCACATTTACCGTATCGCCATTTTCGACATACCAGTGGAGCCTCTCTACAATCTGCATCATTAATTTCTATTAAATCGGTTTCTAATAATCATCACTAAACCAGTAGAATGTGATGGATCAAGGTAAAGATGAGTTAGAAGAAAACAAAAGAAATAAATAGTTCACCTCTTTAAGCTTCTCTGGATTTGTGAAGTGACGACCAAACGACGTGTAGCGCGAAAGATAAATTTCAAGCTTCGTCTGCAGTTCATCAAAAACATGAATGTTTTATACTGTGAAATCTTTTCCCTTAATGGAAATTCTTTCACGTGTAGGAATCTCCTCACACAAAAGCTAAGTAATTCTCATTGAATGACATACCAGCTTCCAGAAAAATCTTAGTGATAAAAAGATTGCGATAGCTAGATATAATTTATAACCTTATGCTTCATGAGTTGGAGTAGGATATCTGGGTCAAATATAGCTCTAGCATCTTTGTCACGCCCTTCTTCAAACATCTTTAAGGCAGCTCGAGCAGCCTGTAGAATAGTCGTTAAGATTCAGGGAGACAACAATGCTAACTAAATTACATATCTATGTTTCAAAAAAAAAACCCGCAGTTGCAGTGACATACATTGACATGAGTCTGAACCAACCCTGTTGTGATGTTCTTACTGATATCATTTCCTGAGTGGTAGGATTTTATATGGGTTGGCTTACGAGACTTAACGAACTCGTCAAAGTTAAACGAGGATTCCACTTCATCGATTATACCCATCACCCTGTCTTACCAGAAAATATAATGAGTAGTTGAAACTATTAATAATGTAACAATTTCTTGCAGTGGCCAAAAAGAACATCACCTCTGTTCCACATCATTGACACTAATATCTTTCTTTGGTTTCTTATAAGGGTCAGTAATATCAAGACGAGTAAATAGACCCTCACGATGGTTTGGATCTGTCTCCATACTCGGAACATCCTCTTTGAACTGTTCTAGCCCGTGACTTCGTGTTCTTCTTTGTCCAGATATATCAGGAAAAATTAAGTGGTCTCTAGCTGGAGTAAGAATATGACCGTCTATCTCATGGGTCCTGTTTCAAAGTTTATGAAAAGCTATACATTTTGCAGATCATAACAGAAAACTCTACTTTAAAATGCACTTAAAACCAATCAGAACATTCAAAAACTTACAAACAATATATAAGAATGCGGTTGTAGGGAAGCAGTCTTTCCCAAGCTCTTTGCAATGTGTCATCGTCAGAGTTGAGTTCAGAAGTAATCTCCCTGAATACAAAATGAAGGAAAAAAATATCTGAAGCTAATATATATGGCCAGTAGGAGCTTGAGGAAAAAGTAAAATGAAAAACGGTTTACCTAGGTAAACATTTTCTGTGATAAGCTGTTGGGCAACGTCTGCATACAGCAAAATGCAACGCATATTCATTCTTGTCTTCACTCATGTTACAGACTTTACATATGTGTAGAGGACATGCAAAGTAGTCTCTAGCAGCAATCTTGGCTTGAAGTTCTTCTGCTTTGATTTGATCATCAGCACAGAGAAGTCTTGCAACACATATGGGATGGTAGAAATGACCACAATTTGACGCAGAACAAGGGAAGACCTTCAAAGCAGTACTCAGTACAGCTAAACTTACCAGATATATATACATGAACTGTGATATGGTGCAAGTATATAATACCTGTTGAGAGGAATTTTCATCAGAGGATCCCAATTCGCCACAAGCATAGCACTGGTGCTGTTTATAGAGACAGTTGTTACACAAATAGGTCCCGAGTGCCTACATATGTATAGCAAACCAACTTCAGCATGAAAGCCTCACCATAATAGCATATTAAACAGAAACTCTAAAGCCGAAACACAGTACTTGAATCTGAGTCTTATAAGTGAATCCTAGCGATTCGCACTCTGTCTCAATTCCATCAGCTATGGTTGGATGGAAAGATCTCAAGCAACTTCCTTCACAACTGAGTTCAATACAAGGAGATTAGATGAAATTAGCTCTAGAAATAACAGCAACTCTTAAGAAACCGTGAAGCTTGACATACCACAGAACATAACCACCATTGTCACAAATAGAACAGACAGGATCAAACTGCAGGTTCGTCTGAGAATCATCATCGCTACCGCTGCT